TAGTGGGTTATGCATTGGGCTACTAACCTGGTGGTGTAGTGGGTTATGCAATGGGCTACTAACCTGGTGGTGGTAGTGGGTGATGTATTGAGCTATAACCTGGTGGTGATGTAGTAGGTGATGTATTGAGCTACTACCCACAGGCTCCTGTAAAGATTTAGAGCATTGGAAACCCCCAAGGGAGATACACTCTCTGCTCTAGCATTAGTATGAATCAGCATGGGCTTGATGGCAATAGCAGTGATGACTGGATGGCTATGGTTGGGTAGAGATGCCTCCTAAGAAAGACTGAAAGAAATAGCCATTGCAAACCTTGTGCCGCATGATTCTCCTGTTTATAACCACTCCGACCAGGGTTGAGGTCTGACGGGTAAGGAATCTGGAGGGTTTAAAAGGCTGTGACCTTTCTCTTAATAAATGAACAAAATGTTTACAAACAATAATGTATTTTATAAACAACAATAATTTGTTTATAACAATATAAACAATGCATATTAATAATAACAGTGTTTTATAAATATGGTATAAATCATAACAATAATGAAATTATTTCAAAAATAAACAGTTTTATTAGTGTTAGATTTTCTGTTTTATTTGTGGAATGTAACACAGGCAAAGAAAAACATACTGTATGTAGTTGTACAGCACATAACCTCCAAGTGCTCCAGTATCACCCTCGCCCATAGGGCTCTTTCTCCTCTTCCTCCTCCTCCTCCTCCTCCTCCTCCTCCTCCTCTTTCTCCTCTTCCTCCTCCTCCTCCTCCTCCTCCTCCTCCTCCTCCTCCTTGTCCTTTTCCCACCACCCTCCCTCCTTACCTCCCCATCCTTCCTCTTCCCCACTCCCCACCACCCCTGAGCTCATCATAGTTTTCAAGCCTTGTCCTTTGGCGTGAGCCCCCCCTCCCCCCATCATCATGGTGGCATGAATGACTTATCTTCATGAGATTGGCTAATTTTCCTGAGCATAAATAAGGTCCCCCAATTTTATCCATGCCGTGAGGCGTTTGAAAGACTAGCACAAACGTATTTCATTGCCAGGGGAACGCTGAGTGATGTTCCTTTCTGAAAGAGGAGGCTGCAGGCCAACTGACTGTGCAGACCTAGGGACGCGACCATCTTCAGTCCGCCCCGTCCATGGATGGACTCCCTCCTTTGGTCTTCAAATGTGAGCCAAACCAAATCCCTCTGTCAAGTTGACGCCAATGTGTGTTAATAGGGTTTTTCTTTTCTTTTTCATGTCTTATCTATAGAAGAGAGGTAGGATAAAAAATTCTGAGGAGGAAACAGTGGGACTGACGGTTCCTGGGGGACATGGGAGAGGGGGAGGGGGGAAGGAAAAGGACAACAAACCCAGGGATAAAGGAACACCAAGTGATCTAAAATGAGTGGCAATGAGGGCGTAGAATGCCTGGTGTGGCTTGATCAAGTGGAACGTAGCTGAGAGGAAGTACAGAGAACTGAATGAAGGTCAAAGATGATAGTGGATGGGGAGGAAAGTAAAAGGAAATCGAGGAAAGAACTAGGAGGCAAAAGACATTTATAGAAATATAAATATAGGCATGTACATATGTAAACATAACAATAGAGATATAGGTATATGTACATATTTATATGTATGCACATATTTATATGTTAAGTATTAAAGTAGCAGATGGACATTGGGCCTCTACTTAAGTACTCCCACAATGCAAGAACTCTTTATTCTAATAACTTGGCTTTCTGTAATGCTCACCTATCTAATACTATTGCTGAAGACAAAATGGGTGCATAAGCAAATGCCGTGAAGAAAACTGATGGTGCCACTATAAAAGATAAAGCGTCTGGGATCTTAAAGGCTTGAAGATAAACAAGCAGCCATGTAGCTAAGAAGCAACAAAATTCACAGGGAAGAAGCACATCAGCCTGTGATCATGAGGTGTCAATGGGATGAGGTACCAGTCATCAAATACCCAGAACAAAAAAATCATATCACTGTGAATGAGAGGGAATGCAGAATGGAGACCCAAAGCCCATCTGTAGACAGTTGGACATCCCCTTACAGAAGGGTCATGAGGAAGGATTGAGCCAGCCACGGAGCATAGCACTGAGGAAACATACACCTCTCCTTTAGTTCTTTTATGCTTCCTCCTCCCACTGTCATGATCGCAGTTCTACCTTACAAATCCGCCTAGACCAGAGCATGTACATGGGTATAGATAAGAGCTCTCGATACATGGAATCCAGAACAGTTAACCCCTCAGGGACAGTAATGGGAGAAGCAATACCATGAGGGTAGGGGGAAGGGAGGGGGGACTGATTGCAGTGATCAACGTATAACACCCCCACCCCCACCACCCCAGGGTGATGAACAACAGAAATATGGGTGAAGAGAGTCAGTGGATGGTTTAAGACATGGAAATGAAATTAATTTATAATTTATCAAGGGTTCATGAAGCTGGGAGGGCAGAGGAGGGAGGGGAAAAATGAGCTGATACCAAGGGCTCAAGTAGAAAGAAATATTTTGAGGAGGATGATGGCCACATATGTACAAATGTACTTGATGCAATAGATGTTTAGATTGTTAAAAGCTATAATAGCCCCCAATAAAATGATTTAGTAGAATAAAATTAAAAAGAAGAGTCGAACTGGCCTCTGGAGCATGTTCAAGACTCAAGATTGGGTTTGAACTGCCAATCTTTGGGTTAGTAGCCTAGCACTTTATTATTTTTGGCACCTAGAGAATTTGTCTCTTCTTCCCTTGAGCGTTCAGTCCCGTTTGGTCACAGTTTTACTTTTCTGCCATTTCCTGCCATGATTCTCTAAGGAGAAAGTCAACTCTACCAACCATTAGCCTAAAAGCTGAGGGAAATTCCCACTCCATTGAAATTGCATGCCTGTATGGCCATTGGCCTCTTTTCATCCAAAGCAGGGCCTCTGTGTATTTCCTTGATCTTGCTGCTGAAGCATCTGCCCCGGGAACCAGTCACCCTTCTCTGAAACATTCTAATTCCTATCTTCCTTGCCACTGCACTTCAGCCTCCCCTTCTTTGCTTCTGGGGGTGCTTTGTCATCTCTCAATAGGGTGTCCTCCATCCTCTTGGTTTGGAGGGACCCTCTGAGATGGATTCCTTGTTCACCGCCTCCTTTTCTTCACTTCCTTTTATGCCCAACGCATAACCCCACTGTGCCACCAGGGCTCCTCAGAAACAGCCTCAAACTCAAAACCAATGCCTTTGAATTGAGGCTGACTCAGAGCAACCCTATAGCACAGTCGAATTGCCTTACTGGGTTTCTGAGACTGTAACTCTACAGACGTAGAAAGCCTCATCTTTCTTTCACCGAGCAGTATGGTGGATTACAACTGCTGACTGTGTGATTTGCAGTCCAACTTATCACCACGACACCAGGGCATCAAGAGCAGCCTCACTGTGCCTTCACCATACTTGAGATAGTTAAGGTTTATTGTGCCAACCTGGCTACTAAACACATGTGAGATTAATTGAAGGGCAGAGAGTTAAATGGCTCTGCGAGCCTTGCCTTTCTTGTTCTCTGATGGTTAGACCAGGGTGAAGCTGCCTTAGCTAGTTCCCTGCTTCAACTGGCAAGGCTCACTTCCTGTGAGATATCCCTGAGAAGCCACATGGACCTACCATGATGCAGCCCTGGGTGCTGGAGAAGCCGTATGGAGACCCCTGCCAGCACTGACATGCTTACACATTCACTGACTCGGTTTTCCTCCTGCAGTCGGCGTCATTGCGTGTATTTTCTGAGATTGAGGTGGACTTTGTAAATCGCATGTAGATCGGTGTCAAGATTGAGGAGGACTTTGTAGATTAGTGTTGGATTTATGGGGATGGACAGCACTGGGTTGGGATGCTTTCTTAATGTACACTTACCCTTTATATAAACCGAGTTTGTGTGGATGTGTTTATCTCATTTACCCAGACTAACACAATACCCTTAGCACCATCTAGTCACCCCTCCCTCCATCCCTCCCTCCTCTTGTATCCCTGGCAACTACTGATCTTTTCATCGGCTCTCAGCTTTCTGGGACGATCTTATGTCACTCACCCCTTACTTGTACTTCAACGTGAGGCTAAGTGCTGGAGCCCGGTTTCACTTTCGTTGGCACTTAAGTCGGTTGCTCTTGAAGCTGCTAGAATGGTTATCAGGCCACACGTCATGGCTCTTCTCCAGTGCGGAGCCTGCTCGTTGCCTTTGTGTCCTGATGAATCCACAGAGGGTTGGGTCAATACATGCATGGAGGATGAATGAAGTGGCAACTGTTCATTTTCTGAGGCTCAGCTTTCGTGTTCAGCAACTCCAGTTGGCTGCTTTAAACCTGTTTCCTCATGTAGAACGGGGTTCTGGCCATGTTGATCTGGCTAAGGGGCAACCTGTGCTGCTGCTTTGAAAGACCTCCTGGTCGGAGCTTCACGGTGGCCTCATTCACAAACCTTATGTATTGTTCGGAGATTTTCAGATCTTCTCGTAAAGGAACGCCGCCCCGTGAGGAGAACAGACAGAAGTAACAGTATTCCAAGAGCTAAAAGGCTAAAACAAACAAACAAACAAACAAACCCAAGCATGTCACGAAAATGCTTTGATGAGTGACAAGACCATAGGTTTGTTTTGTTTTGCCTGTTCCTTCCCATAACGTGAGGTTCTGTTTCTGTCGTTTCTAAGCTGGGCTCCAGCATGTGGCTCCCATGGCGATGGCCCATATTCAGGGCGGAAACTTGACCCTGTTGCCCTGTTTAACACCCCCGAAGGCCGCAACATCCACCAAGCGTTGGCCTGTGTGCCGAATGGGACCCGTGGGTTTGACTTACGGGTGACATAGAAGCAATCCTTTACTGGGTGAAGTTAAGCACTCTCCCTAGCCATAAATAGTAGGCCAGCTTGGTCCTATTTTTACTGCTGAGGCACCCAGACGATGGAAGTCCATATTGGAAGAAGAGCTTGGTTTCCGCCAAGGAAGAGAAGAGCTCACTCCATGCCGTTCTCCCTTTTCTTGGCAGGCTCTTCGCAACCATCTGTGAGTCCGGAGTTTCCGTCCCCGCCGTCCATCCACCCTGCACAATCTCAGCTAACCATCAACGCGGGCGACGAGCTTCGGCTGCTGTGCACAGATCCAGCCCCGGTCCGGTGGACTTTGAAGTCCAGTAACTTGGGTCGAGTGAGTGAGAACAAGCACAATGAGTGGGTCGTGGAGAAGGCAGCCGCCAGCAACACAGGCACCTACACGTGCACCAACGCAGGCGGCTCCAGCAGCTCCATCTATGTGTTCGTTAGAGGTAAATGCTCAGCCTCCTTTGATGGCTTCGGAGAACTCAATATCCTGTTCTTAATTCTGAGTGCCATAGAGCTGACTGAGTCACAGGGGACAAAAGTAATCACCAGTCGGGGACTAATGAACCTGAAACAAATTGTTCTTTGTTCCTTTTCGCCTGCTTTTGATGTACAGTGGTTTGGGATCTGACCCCTAAGCGGAAGGTCTTTCAGAGGGTGATTCTCTCCGCATGCTGTTGCAGAATAGGGTTGGGCTCTGTGTCCTGGTGCTCAGAGTGAACCCTAAGAATAAGGGAAGACCCCTGGGAACGCTGCCTTTAATGCCTCGAGATACTCCCACTTAGTAAGAACACTCCAGGGAACCTGGTGATTCTCTCGAGGCCTGAACAGAACAACACTTCAAAAGATTTGACTCACCCCGAGACTCAGCCCCAGAAAAAGAGGTTGGCCAGCTAAGCAGCACATGTCCTTTGTAGGCTCCTAACAGGTTTCAGTTCATTTGTTCCACAGATTGTGACCTCTGAGAGAGACAAAAGAAAAAGAAAGAGTGTATGAGGAGGGCCTTACAAATTCCGTGGAAAAAATGGAATGAAAAGATAGAATTTTCCCAGGAACTTAAAAAAAATTGTTTTTTCCCCATGAACTTTTGGAAGCGCCTTTTATTTCGTTTTAATTGCTTTGTTTATTTTTAACAATTTCACCGACATACAATTCTCACACAGTATACATTTCAGCCGTTCAGTCACATGCCTAACAGTTGTGCAATCATCATCCGTACAATCAATTCCAGGACATTTATTCTTGCTTCTTTCTACTCCTTGTTGCCAGCTCCCCTTTTCCTGCCAGCCTCCCCTGATATTTCCCTTTGAATCGGTTGATCCAGTTGTTGTCTCCAACCCACTCCAACTCACTCACTGCTATAGAGTCCGTTCCACCGCAGACCGACCCTGAAAGGACAGGGGAGCGCTGCCCTCGGGAGCTTCAGAGACTGTAACTGGCGACTGGAGTAGAAAGCTCCATCTTTATCCTGAGGGGTGCCTGGTGGTTTCAAACTGCTGACCTTGATCACAGCCCAACTCATAAACACTATGCCACCAGGGCTTCTGATGGTCTCATACAGATTCAAGGCAGAACACAAACTACAAACAGTTTAGCAACTGCGACACAATGAAACAAAACAGCACATGTTTAAAAACCAGAGTGATTGTACATTGGGCCCACGGGAGGTCAATGGCAAGGTGGGTGTCTCACATGGAAGCCCACTCACGTTTACGATCCCTGTACTGTAGTAGGAACCTTGATGGCGTCGTGGGCTTTAAACCGCAGGTCCGTGAGAGAGAGATGAGGTTTCCCGCGCCTGTAAAGATTTGCAGCCTCTGAAACCTGCAGGAGGCCATTGCCTTCTGCCGTGTGGTGTGGGGCGGCTGCGGGTCACAATCGACTCAATGGCAGCGAGCGTATTGTGTTTTTTTGGAGTTTTTCCTGTAATGAATTTGTGTTTGTGTCTTTAATGTCATTGACAAACATAGGTACCTCGTGGTATCTTTATACTGATGTCAACACCGAGGTACTCTCTGGAACAGGAGAAGAGCTCTGGGGATCAGTCCCAAAGTATCGCTAATAGATTCCACTTCATACACACGCGGGAGTATCCCGATCAAAATTTGGGTACATGTCTCTCCGTGCTCAGTGGCTGGCTGCAGACACATTCTCTCAGTGTCACGCGGGTCGCCGTCCCCTAAAGGTGCCTCCCAAAATAGGTCCAGTCAAAACACTGGCTGTGGAGGGGATCTGCTGGGCTAATGGAGGTTGACTCCAAAGGTTACACCCCAAACTAGACTCACTGCCATTGGGTTGATTCTGACTTACAGTGACCCAGAGGACAGAGGACAGCAGCCTTGGTGGGATTTTGAGGCTGCAACATTTTACAAGAATAGAAAGCCTTATATTCTCCTGAGGAGCAACTGGTGGTTTTGAACTGCTTACCTTGCAGTTAGCAGCCCAAGGTGTAACCCAGAGGCTTAGTATCTTGATCTATTTTTCTCAAAGGACACAGGATGTTCAAAGGGGCTTATTAGAAAGAAGTATGAAGAAAATTGAAAAATGTATTGATGAGACACAGACCAGAAAAACCACACCAAAGGGATTTCCCCCTAAAAACAAGGCATTTAGGATTTCCCTCCTACAGACAAGGCACCCGCTCATTTTTCTGAGGTCAGTGAGGGGTATCCCACAAGAATTTCACCTGGAAACTTTGCTCCACGCACCCCGTATCCCTGATACAACTTGTCTCTTCCATCTTTTTGTTCCTCCCCAACAAAGACTATGGGAAAAGGAACACAGCGTGCTTCCCTTGACCGTTGCCGAAGCGCCCCTTTTGCGTGCTCTAAGTTGCAGGGCGCAGCGTTCCTGGGGGGAAGGACAGGAGCTGGAAACACTGCCCTCACAAGCCCACAGACGTGGAGGACCTGCGGAGCAGTGGCAGCTGCACATTTGATATTTGTGTTCGATCAAGGTTCCTCTGATTTCTTTGCTGAAATACTAGTCCCCGATCTAGCCCTGGGTTGGTACCTAGATCGGGAGGGCCTCGTCACAGTGTTGTGGAAGAACGATGGAGGTTTGCCAAGCACCCCCAAGAGTGTCAGTTTTATCATCACAACGTGTGGGTAAGATTGCCGGCTCCATTCTTGTTTTCTCTTTGGTGGATAACTGAAAAGAAATATCTGCTGATAAGTGACAGTTTAGCCTCTGGGTGTGGTTCATAATGACTGAGCCTGCCTGCTTCTCTTAATATTCAGGAAGGTGAAGGGACGCTGGAGTTTCCAGGTGGTAATGAATTAAGTATCTGGTGGCGCTGTTGAGCAAGCAGTGGTCTGTAAATCTCAAACTCAGTGGCTCAAACCCAGCAGCTGCTCAACAAAGGAAGATGAAGCCGTCTGCTCAGGCTGTCTGCTCCCATGAAGATTTACAGCCTCTGAAACCTATGATAGGGTTGCTGTGAATTGGGAAAGACTCAGTGGCAGTGGGCTTTGTTAATGAAGTAGTAGTTGCTAAGCACGAGGGTAGCAGTTCAAATCCACCAAGTGCTCCTCTAGAGAAAGATGAGACAGTTTGCTCTGGTAAAGATTTACAGACTCAGAAACCCTCTGTAGTGTCAGACTCGACCAGCTGACAGGTTTTAATGAGAGATCAGGAACACCGATGGCACAGTTCTTAAAGCGCTTGTCTGCTCGCCCAAAGGTGGAGCGTTCGAACCTACCAGCCACTCTTCTAGAGAAAGCCATTGGCATCAGCTCCCGTAAGGTGTTGCAATCTTAGAGAACCCAGGAGGCAGTTCTGCTCTGTCCTATAGGGCCGATATGAGATGAAATCAAGTCAAGGGCAGCTGTGTTTGTGTTTTTAAGATGAAGTATTTATTTTTTTGAAAATGAAATATCATTAGACAATTGAGTAAATGAGGAAACCTGTGGAATGAGCAAGCTGGCCAGCACAGAACGTTCTTCCTGAGTAACTCAGACCTGTTTAAGGTGTTTGGATACTTAAGTGTTCTGGGTAGCAGCAGGAGACGGAAGCAGGACTTTACCGCGGGAGCTATACTCCGTGGACTGAGAAAGAGTAGATGGAAAAAGAACCAAGGTGGATCACGGTTCCTCCTCCTCAGGACTTAATTTAGTCTCAGGATAAATTAGCCAGCCTGGGAGGTGTAGAATTCATTTTGGAAACCTTTTTCAAAATCAAGTTTCAACATCTATTTCACCGATGTCAAGTCCATGTTTGTGGAGCATCCGATTTCCAGATGGAAAGCCCATCACGGAAACCAGTTTTTAAGCGTACTCTTTTTGGCTGAACCCTGTACAGTGGAACCTGTGAGAGCCGGCCCAGCGCAGAACAGCCTTGTTTTTCCAGGTCTCACAAGTTTTCCGCCTCTGACAGGGTGCAGCTGACCACATTCCTCACGCTCGTCTGGCGGGGTATTGGAACTGTTTTTCACTGTCAGGTTTGCATCTTACGCAGGTCGTGGCTTTCTCTTGTTTGACTCAGTCTGTATTATTGTTACGCAGAGGAAGGTGGCAGCATATGGAATATGCAGAACCCCTTGGCCTCAGCTCCGGGGAGGCCTCCGTCTGCGTGAAGCATATCCAGGCCCACCTGTTGTCCGGCCCGATTATTCACACTGTGTTTCTTTGCCACAGCATGGCTGACACTCACAGGCTCCCTTGGGCATTTGAAATAATTTCATCTGGCAGTTGACCTGTGACTAGGCTCACACGTCATTTGTACGCGGCAGACTCATTCATTCCAGAAGCTGAGAGAGTCAGGAGACGGCATTCTGGAAGAGGCCCGGATGGGATGGAAAAGAAAGAGACTCTTTCCCCGTCCCTGAGAAAGATCACCACGTGGCTTATGATCAGTGAGACCTGCTAACAGAGAAATGATTGTTACAGTAAAATATCCTCAGAGCTGTGAGAGCGCTAACTTTGTGTTTTGTTTTTGTTTTTTTCTTGGATAGCCATTATTTTTCTGTTTGGGATAGTTTTAAAAGTTTTTTCCTTTTTGTCACAAAAACAGGAATGTACCCCGAGAAAGACTCAACATAGGCCATCTTTGTCAACAAAAACCTCACTGGGTCAGGAAAGTGAATATAGCATGCAGAGCTAATTGGTACAAATCTAATAGGATTTGTTAAAATCAGGCACATCTGAAGTGTTCTTCTGTAAACTGTCACGTGAAGAAAAGAACCACCTCTCAAGGTCTAAAAACGTGGTTTGTTCATAGACAATCCGACAAGTGCTCACACACAGGGTTTTCTGAGACGTAAGAAAAGGCCACATTATTTTTCTTGAAGCTGTCAGCTCAAGACTACGTAAACAGCTGAGGGTCTGAACCTGAGAAAATACATTTAAGTGCAAACAGCTGTGAAACGTCTTCCTTGTCCTTTGGTTTGCATCATCTGAGTGGAGCTGAGCTCTAACTTTGATGTCAGTCTGATCGGGGCTTGGGTCCTGCTCGGCCGTTCTCTACCTGTGTCATGTTAGGGATGCTTGCTTTTGTTTCTTAAAAGGAGTTTCTTCATCTATAAATAGGAAATAGAGTACCCATGCCATGCAACCTCACTGCCATTGAGTCAGTTCTCACTCCAGCAACCCTATAGAGGGTAAAGAACTATCTATAAGGTTTCTGCAGCTGTAATTCTTTACGGCATCAGGCAAGCCTCCTCTTAACCCCTCAGAACTCCCTTTAAGTGGTTTTGAACCGCTGGAACTTGAGGTTATCAGTCCACTAGGTAATCCTCAGAACCACCAGCGCTCCTGTCTCCCGCACTAAGGATGTATTTAGGAGGAAATGAAATAAAATGTGTAGTGGTTCCAATTTTGCTCCCAACACATAGCTAGAGTTTAATAACAGATCAACACTTTTTGGATCTGTTTTGCTCTGGCTTGCAAAGAAAAAGGCCATTGGCCATTCGGGCCAGTAGAGGTTTGTTGGCATGAGAGTCAGCGTCTGAAATGTGTTTTCAAGGTGAACCAGCTATTCACACTAATCTCTGCTATGCTTCCAGATCCCAACAAGCTTTTCCTGGTGAACAAGATGCTGTACGGGAAAGAAGACACCGATGCCTTGGTCATCTGTCCTCTCACAGACCCGGAGGTGTCCAATTACTCCCTCAAGAACTGCGAGGGGAAACCTCTCCCCAAGGACTTGGTGTTTGTCCCAGACCCCAGGTCTGGCATCACCATCAAGAATGTGCAGCGCGCCCACCACCAACTCTGCGTGCGCTGCTCTGCCGACCAGGAGGGCAAGACGGAGCTGTCAGAAAAGTTCATCCTGAAAGTGAGGGCAGGTGTGTACGGGGCCCTGCTCTCTCCTTCTGTTGAGGAAAGTTCTCCCTGTTCAGGGAATCCATGAATGGCACAAACTCTTAACATCCTGGAAAAGTAATGCCACTCAGGAAGTGCCTCAGAAGAAAGGACTGGCAGTCACCTCCCACCTCCAAAAACACCCCAGCTATCCAAACCCCTATGGAGCACAGTTCTACCCTGACACACATGGGTCCCCTTAGGGGAGAGCCAGCTCCACACTTGGTTTCTCTCTCCACATGGGTGCATCTCATCTGTCCCACTATCCCACACCAAGAGACTGCCCTTCCTCCAGAAATGGCCCCCTCAGCCTCACAATCGTTTCTGCTCCCAACCCCACCCGCCTGGCCCAGGGCGGTCATCCAGCTGCAGCTCGCTGACCTAGGTGCGCCTGCAGGACCTCAGTGCTGGGCAGCCGTTCACCGACTGAAGGGTTCTCCTAAATTTCAGGGGATGTTCCTTCCACGAGAGACATCCATTGGGGGGCTAAGTCCCCTGAACAGATTAGCATGCAGATGATTTAGGTACTCCTTGGTTTGCTATTAATACCCGAGTGGACTTTCTCCCCAGCTATTGTATTGTCATGCAGTTTCAAACTGGCTGCAAAGGGCCGAGGAGAGTACCACGCTGACCTTGTGGTGAGAGATCGTGCAGCCCAACTCCGGTTGGCACTCAGCTTTTAAAAGTACAGATTTTTTAAAAAAGGCTTTGGGAAAAAGTATGCTTCACTGAAATTAAGCAACACACATGCGGTTTATTTAAAACCTAGAGTTTTCAGAAACGAGCAAGGCTTTAGTTTTGCAGTATAGCTGATGGATGCCTGCTTGGTTATGAGGAAGGGTATCATGAGCGGTCTATCACATACCCATCGGGAATGAATTGTCTGAGGTAGAGATGCAAGCTTGCTTCCCTAGGCTAGGGCTTCTACCTCTTCTGAAAGGGCACTGTCCCGAAGCATTCTGATGTCCACGTCCAGAGTCAGGTCTTTTCCCGTCAACAGCCCTGGCTTTCCTCAAAGGACGAGGCCTTTTCATTGCCGATGTCTTCAGACATGCAAGTGATAACTGCTGGCCTATTTTGCAGGCTGAGTTAAAATCACGGGCCGGGATAGAGCATACTATGTGAGTGTCACATCTCTCTCTCGTTTAGCCATCAAAGCTGTACCCGTTGTCTCCACCTCCAAAGTCAGCCACCTTCTTAGGGAAGGAGAGGAATTTTCGGTGATGTGTACAATAAAGGATGCCTCTAGCTCTGTGGTCTCCATGTGGGCAAGAGAAAACAGCCTGGTAAGTTCTCAGTGTCTACATTGGGGGGTAGGGGTGGGGTGTTTTTACTACCAGGTCCGTCTGTGCAGGGTGTCTTGGGAATGGCTCAACTGGCATGTCTGCCCGAGGCGGAATGATCTGGGATGTGGGTTATGATGTCTATTGCCCCCCGTGGATGCTCCTTCTGTAGGTATTCATGTTCATTATCACCAACCGATCCACGTGGCTCCGTCAACGAGCTTTCAGAAAGTTGAAGGGTGAACTTTGGACGCCTGCTTCTTGCTGTTTCTCTGAATGTCTTCAGTATGGAAATGAAAAACCACACCCAACCCAAAGTGACTCGATGCGTCAGTGACTTGATCTAAAGGCATTGCTGATGTTATTCAGGTCAGGTTATTAAAAGGCTAGGAAAGAGTTGCTGACTTAAGAAAAAATATTTATTCCCCTTCCATTTTTAAAAGATGATAGATGCTCTCAGGTATTAATCAGGAAGCTCTTCCCTCCCCACAAAATGGCTCGTGCAATAAGCAATCCGGACAGACAGGGCTCTTTTTTAGTATGGATCTGACATCATCCTCTGAGGCTGGCTACCTGAGATGATGTTGCTAATGGCATATTGTTTGTTTTAATAGCTATTAATAGAATGGGTTATCTTTAATCTGAAACGTTTTGGACAGCTTTAAGTTCTGATTCATTTAACAAATGCATATTGAAGGCCTGCTATCTACAGTGTTAGGCATATCCTATAATTAAATGAATGTTAGCCACTCTTCTTCTCGACTATAAAAGTATTGCTAGCTGTCTTTAAAATGCCCAGTCTCACTTGGAATTTTCATTGCCCGAATTTTCAGTACATTTCTTTTCCTTTCTCCTTTGTTTTGTTGAAGAATTTTGGCCATCTAGTTCATTAGCTGTCCTGGTGATTTTTTTTTTCTTCCTGATATGGGTAGGACTTTTGGGGGGGGGGTGGGGAGGAAGGGATACTATATGTTTTTTTCTTGTTCTCCCACTGCCCTCTATTGTACATTGGCAATTTCATGCCTGTTTAAAGAATTCTTTGCTAAACAAGTAACCATGGTAATTAGCATAGTGCAAAGACCCTATAATGGTATTCATGTAGACCCGTGATGGATGATACCTTACTAAGTGATGCCTGCCATCGACTGGGAGGATGGATTGCACCACAAACCCATTGGTGCAGAGAAACAAGTGTGAGTGTTCATAGCATATAATTTAATAAAAGCAATCGCTTCTCAATGGATCTCTGGCTAATCTTACAGAACACGATCCCACATTAATTGGCTTTCTATAATCCTTGATTTCAGTGGGGAGAAAATTGAGGCATGGTATGTTTGAGGGCCTCTGTCTAACTTGAAAATTAGCCACTCTGAGAGGAGAAATTAGATTGCCCCAGGCAGTTTTGTTGAGAATCATTTTTTTCGGTCCCAGGAGCCCTGCATGCCATTCCCAATTAATCCACTGGCACCAGTGGATAAGCCCTCCATGTGGGAAGCTCTTTGGGGAAATCCCAGTGTGCACCTCCAAGGGTTAAGCAAAACCAAATGAGGAGCGGCAGACAATATGTAATGTGTGACTCGCAGATGGGGCTCATGGCTCTACGCCAGCCCATGCTCATCCATGAATCTTTTATGGATATATATATGGGCCTCGTTTGGGATACTGTTCTCATGATTAGCACTATCAAATTAATATTATTAATATTTTTTAAAACCTAGAGTGCTTGACTCTGAGCATTCAGAATACATTTAACTCACAGTGAAGTTCTGGCTAAGATGGGAGTGTTGGCAATTGCGCCTAAAAGTCTCAATACTTGTGAAAACCCTCGGTTTTCTTCTCTAGTGCCTGTCAGCCCGACTGCTGTTACTTGATTTTCACGATGCTCTAGGCGGGTGTGTAAAGAATGGTCCTTGGGCTTGGGCTTCAGAGTCCTGTGTCCCTGTGCAGACTTCTCTTGTGGACGCCTGGGTTCATGTAAGAACTAGAAAGAAACAAAAAATTCTAGATATTACACACACCCACACCCCAATTTTCTGCAGGGTTTAAAATATAGAATTGGGGTGTTCTATGCCCATGGTCATTTTGCACGCACAGAAGAAGTATCTGGACTATAGCACAGACGGGTGTGGAAGTGTGCTATTGTGCCTGCACAGCAGCTAACACTGCCAAGCTCCGTGGCAAGCCTCTGCCAGGAGTCAGAAGACTCCCTTGGATCTACAAAGTGTCTTCATCTGGCAAGGCTTTTAAGGACCGCCTTGCTCCTTTACACCTGTTTGACAAGCAGAAGCTGAGACTCCAGATGACTAGCTTAAGATTTTACAGTTAGTGGACAGCGAAGCAAGTTTCTCTTCCTTTCTGTTTTGAAACATTCAACTTGGTTTAATCAGTTTTCTTCTGTGATTATTTTAATTAAAAATTTTGCATGCCATTAAAAAAAAGTCAAATCGTGTCGTTGTTGTTAAGTGGCTTCAGATCCACTCTAACACACAGTGACCCTTGGTACAGCGGAACACAATTCTGCCCAGCCCTGTGCATCCTCATAACTGTTATGTGCGGCCCATTTTTGCAACCACTGTGTTAACCCGTCTCATTGCGAGCCTTCCTCTGTTGCGCCAAGCATGATGTCCCTTTTCAGGCCTGGCCTCTCCTGTACCCATACACATCCAAAGTGCCCGAGATGAAGTCTCGCCATCACCTTATTTGTTTCTAAGGGGCACATTCTGACCTTACTTCCTCCCAGACAAGTTCCGTTGTTCTTCTGGCAGTCCATGGTACTTTCAATATTCTTTGCCGATCTTAAGGGGCAATTCTACTCTATCTCAGAATCCATAGAGACCCTATGTCAGGTTTCTGAAACGGTACATTTTTACGGGAGCAGGCCAGCCTCATCTTTCTCCCTTGGAGCAGCGGGTGGGTTTGAACTGCTGGCCTTGCAATTAGCCAGCCCAAGCCTAACCCACAGTGCCACCAGAGCTTCTCACCTGGTATAATGCATGGAAGTCCATTTTGAGATTTTACTGCAGTAAGCATCTTCGAGTTTGTGATTTCTGTTCAAGATAAAGTCTCCGAGGCTGATCAGAGGAGCCAAGCACACTGACACATGCTTCCTAGACATGCCCTCTTTCAGGAGGCTATCAGGAGCCGAGCACACTGACATGTGCTTCCTAGACATGCCCTCTTTCAGGAGGCTATCAGCACGGCTGATGGCTTCACCATGACCTGGTCAACCTATCACCTTTGACCTCATTCCACATCAGGAGCAGATCTTGTTTTCTTCTCTTTGTATCTCCCATGGCAGTAGGAGTGTGCACGTAATTGAAACATAAATGGAAGACGAAGAAAGCTATATTCTACTCTTGTCAATCCCTGTAGGAAGCGGCTCTGTTTTACGATATGGTTTTGCTGTCACTTTTTAAATGCGGCAAGCTTCTTCCTATGCCTGACGGCAGGCAAACGATAGTGGGGCCGTGAAACCGAGAGTAAATGAACTACCTTGCCTCCTCAGCTCAGCCTGAGACACTTTGGGGTGTGGACTCATATAACTCACACTGTGTGGAACTGACCACCTTCGATAACTGCTGCAATGGCACTGGGTAAAAGAACTGTAGGGAGAACCATCGGGACTGGTCGCTGTCATTATGCTTCATGCTTGTGTAAGTTGTGCTTGTCATGAAAACTCTAGGTGTGAAGCAAAACCTGGTTACAGAGGCTAGGACAGACTGAGGCAAAAGAGGGGGCTTCAAAATGTTTGTGGAAACATGGGATGGAAGACAGGGCATTTTTCCACATACGTTTTGAAGGCTGTCTCACAGGAAATGCCAACGGTACCCAAGTCTGCTGATTCACGGTAGAAGACGGTTCCGCGCAGTGACTTTGAAGGTTAGCATTGCAGAATGACTGGAATTCTGTGTGCCATGGCTATGAAGGAAGGCACTTGTGCGGTTTATCTTCTCCCACTCTTTAATAACGACTCGCTTTCACTATAATCCTGCCTTAGGACAGGTTCCAAAGACAGGCTTCGGGAGATGCTGTATTATTCTTACTTAAGTAGTGTCTAATGCATGCTAATATGGAGAAGTTAATGGCTGCTATTTTTAATTTATCTCAGAAAGATCGTGAATATAAATCATGGTAATGTTTGATTGTTGTTTTTTTTTTCCTTCTCTCTTCTTAACACCCCCACCCCCTTTGTAAAACCAGCTCAAAGCCAACGTATCAACAACAAGCCGGCATAAGGGTGACTTTGATTATGAACGTCAGGAAATGTTGACTATCAGCTCAGTGAGAGTTAATGATTCTGGAGTGTTCATGTGTTATGCCAATAATACTTTTGGATCTGCAAACGTCACAACAACCTTGAAAGTCGTAGGTAAATATCTCTATGGGAATGTATGCATTAAAATTACCGGGTAGCTTTCCTTTTCTTTTTTTTTTTACGTAAATGGGATGTTAAGCAGATTCTTAGAATTGTATTATCACCGAATGAATGAATGAAAAATTTCTTTGTGGCCTCTTCAGAGGAAAGCACAGTAAATGGTACCACTTAGTAGAAAGAAGTGGAAAGACAGAATGGGAATTGTTCTGTTTCCACCACATCATTCTCTTCTCTTCCCCAAACAAAACATACATTGAGCTTTTTGGAAGTGGATGTAGACTGGAGTATTTCTCGGTATCCTCTGGCCTTCGTTCATTTATAGCAAGAAGGACCACATGGGGCTTCCTCTCTGTTAACTCCCTCCACCTCGTGGCGACACAGTTACATGTTGTTCTCCTAATTTCAAGAGCAGCAGTTCAAAACCACCAGCCACTTCATGGGAGAACGATGAGGCTTTCTACTCCTGTAAAGAGTCTCAGTGGGCAGGAGTCAAAGCCAGGGTAGTGAGTTTGGGTTGAGCTTACCTTCCCCTATCCCCTAGCCTGAATCAAGGTTGTAGCTTAATCCTTCAGGAAGGAAGTCAGTCCTCAAAGGGCATGGGCCATCCTTGGTTCTACTGCACATTATTGGCACATGCTTGTGCTTTCTGCACAATATTGCACCTGATGTGCTCCACTGGGTTAGCCTGGCCTTCCCTGTTCTAGAAATCTATGCTGACTCATAACGATCCTGTAGGACAGTTTAGAACCGCCACTTTGAGTTTCCGAGACTATAACTGTTTGGGGGAGTAGAAAGCCCAGTCTTTCTTCCGCTGAGTGGCTGGTGATTTCGAACTGCTGACCTTGCAGATCACAGACCAATGCACAACCACAACGCCACCAGGGCTCCCTAGAAAACTTACTTAGTATGAAATTTCCACGCATCTACTAAAAGACAGCTGAACATAGCGGGACACTTGATAGTTCTGATTACCTGAAAATTGCAATCAGTTTTAAACGACGCCTGCCTTTGACACAGTCTTGCTTTGAGAGCATCATTTGAATTTATCTGTGGCCTTTGCAGCTTTAAGGCAGCTGTGTCCTCAGTGCTTGACTTTGATGAAGTTCTTCGTCACAGGAATCATAAAAAGGTGTAAGGTTTGTTTTCGTTTCTCTCTTCCCTCCCCCAAATTTCTTTAGCATCTGCCCCTGGCTGTGAGGTGGCCATGTTCGATGGCTTTGATTTATCCCATTCTCATCTCACCACAGAGAGCACTCCCCAGACCGAGCACAGAAAAGACACTACTGACAATTATATTCAGACCTTAGAAAGAGCACTACTTGTCCCAGAACGTGACTGGGAGCCATTTATTAATATGAATAGAAGGCTGTGCTTTTAAAATATTAAACTCCATAAGCGCTAATTTGCTAAATTGATTAGGAAGCCTGTTGATATATCAGCTTCAGCTCCAGAAAGCAATTAGTAAGGATGTTTGGAGCGTATTGTTGTATGTAATTGGAATTTAAAAATCCATTCATCAGTTTCCAAGAATATTACTGTATAACCGGAAAGACTTGTGCCAGTGAAACCCGAGTCTGGTTTTGTATTGTTTTAAAGGGAGTGGGTTGGGGTGGGACAGGAGTAGGAAGAGACAGAGAGAAAGGTCCTTTTTTGAGGGGTTGGGGACTGGGAGTAGGATTAGGATATAGCGTGGGTTGGTGGAGAGAACAAAGCTCTGAGGTTACCTTGACCCTGACCTGTTTTCAAAGTGAGGTCCTGCTGCTCCCCATTCTCTAATGCACCAAACTTTAACTTCAGACCCGTCTTCTCTTTGAGAACCACAGCATCTTCACTCCAACGGCTGTGGGAAAGGGGAAGGGAAAAAATGGCAATAGATTGTATGAAAGTGCCTGGCATAGGGTTTCCATTTGATTAAATGTTAATGCATCACCAATTTCTTAATGCAGGAGTACTTGGAGAATCCAATTTTATGTTATAAAAACCCAGGTGGAGTTCTAATAATTCTTTCCCTTCGTGAATTTGAAGTGCTGCAGGACATAAAACTATCTTGGGCAAATTAGACTACAGAAAACTCAGGAGGGATTTAAGACAAGAAATCTGGGTATGGTGATTGTGAATGAAATACATTCATGCCAGACTCTCTGGTCTGAAATATTCAAGTGTTTTGTGTTGCGCAGCGTCTATGAAACAATGACCTTGAGGGGCCAAAACATTTCATGTACTTTCCGAGTGAAACGTTTTCTCCCGAAGCATGAAGCTCAGTTAGCTTAGGTAATGGCCAGGGGAGATATCATGTATGATTGTGGCATTGAAAGAAGGTGTGATGATTTCTATTTCTCGCAAGTTTTCCGTTTTCCTGACTTTCTCATCTGAAAAAATCCTTTAATTGTTCCAATTGGCAAAACATGGGTAAAGTCTTTTTTCAAAATTCTGAGTGTAGGGATCCAAAGAGAGCTTTACTTTATTTTACCAGATAGTAGAAAAGAAATAAACCTGACATTTTATAATTAATTTAAAACTGTGGAATAAATAGAAGAATAACGTTGAAACGGCCCCCTAGTCGCACTAACTTGATATAACCATTTTTAGCACTTTGATATATTGCCTGTAGATATTTGTTATGTAACCCTTTAAACTATTCTGTCTCAGTTTCTCAACAAGAGCCTTGGTGGTGTAGTGGGTTATGTGTTGGGCTGGTAACCACACAGTCAGCAGTTTGATCCCTCTAACTGGCTCTTGGGAGAAAGATGAGGCTGTTTGCTTCTGTAAAGATTTCTAGCTTCCGAAACCCAAAGGAGCACTTCTACTCTGCCCTCCAGGGTCGCTGGGCATCAGAGCGGACTCAAAGGCCATGAGTTTCTGTCCCAATGTTTGGAGGCCATCGGGCAGGGCACAGCAGAAGTGGGCCAGCCCTGCTCGGCACAGACCTGTATTATAATCTGGTCTCTGCCATTGGGTGGCTGACTGCTGAGTGACTTTCTAGGCCCCGGTCATTTTCACTTCTAAATTAGAGGTTATAAGACTTAGCTCTCCGTATTATCATAACAGTGAATGTTTGCTGTAATTATTTAATAAAGCAACCTATGATACAATGTTTAGGGCAGTTTGAGGCACAGAAAAACATTCTATGAATGGCAGCTATAAAAGAATAATGATGATTGTTTTATTAAGTTTATTCTTAACTTGTTAATTATATAAATATCTCTGGGTGCTGCATGATATTACTAATTGGGTATACCACGGTTTATCTAGTCAGTCCTCTACTTTCTCACTTTTTAAATGATTGCAGTGGGTGGAGAACACACGTACTTTGGCCTGTAACTTATCCACCCCATTAAGATGAGTTCTCAAATGAGAATTATAAGGTTAAATTGAAAAAAATACGTAATTAAAAAAAAAAACTTAATGTTTTTGAAGAGTTTTGTTGCCAATTTACAAGTTATAATTCAGTGTTGCTACTTTTACTATGCTTGCAAAACCATTGAGTTTGTTGCATGACAGTGCTTTGCTATTGTTTTAATTGAATTACTAGGCTAGCTAAACACTTCCATCTCTGTTCTCATGTCCTCTTTCTCTGTTATTTCAATTTTAATGCACAGGTATTAACTACACTTACACATTTCAATTGGTCTTTTATAATTTTCCCTGGCTGCTTCTAAAACATCACTCCAGAACTTTAATAAGCATCATTTCTGTTGATCCCTTGAAAGTATGATTTGATTGTTAAGCTGTCTGATTCATCTGTGATGGGAGGGCTTAAGTCTAATAGTCACTACACACTAAATGGTCACCTTTCAACGTTTTCAGGGAACATTAGGGGTTTCTGTTCTTTCAATTGATTTATGATGACTTTTTGTCACATATACAATTACATTAGCCCTGAGTATGGGCTATTTAATCCAAATGCTTATATGTCTGGTAAATATGAAGATTAAAATAATTCTAGGAGGCCCTAAGACTCTTTCAGAGAGTTGCTTAGGCAATTGAGCTGGGAGACGTAACTCTTCCAAATGTATGCCCTTTGTAATTGTGTAAGGGTATGATTTATAAAAACAATAAGATCTAAGACGGTCAGTTAAAATTCGCAGCTGATGCTGAAACTTAGTTAACTTTGTAATTCAAAGATTTGTGTGTGTGTGTGTGTGTGTGTCTTGATTTGTGATTTGGCTCATTAACTGTATATTTTAATGGCCCTATATTTTAGGATAGGTATATGATCCTTCCATCCTGACTGTATTTTATCTTATTTATTTTTTTGAATCAGTTTTAAATTGTAAATGAGGTGAGAATTTGCATTTCAGATCAGCTTTTCTTTCCTTCAGCAGTCCAAATTCCTAATCCAACCCTCCAGTAGTCCACCCCCCACCCTCCCATGGTGATGTCTACATTTGAGCTGTTTGAATCCTCATACTCATGACTCCATAGTTTCTGTCCACTCTATGGAGGAGGCTGCATATGTCTTTCATTGACAATGCATGTCAATTTGGGGGCATCCATAACATAGAAATCTTCAGTAGCTTAAGCTGAAGACAAGATAGAGCTTACACAGTGATTTGGGTTTTGATTTTAGAAGGTACACGTGATTTTTCTAGGGTATAATTTTTCTTCTTTCAATCTTTACACGGGCGGTTTCTAGCATATTCATGACATAAAGATGAACACAAATAAGGAAAACTTGGGACTGATACTGGAAATTACCCTTAGACAATAGAAACTGCACCGATATATGTCACAAGCGATTTGGACATCACAAAATTAGTTTAGTCATTATTTTCCAGAGGGGAGAAAATGATGTTTCATCATTAAGGTCCGGTCATAACATATTTTTCCCCCCTCCAAAGAATCAGTTAATTTGAACTTTAGGTTTTCTTTGGGTAGTTTCTTCCATCCACATGTTTATAAAGTCAAAGAAAAGGAAAATGGCACATAATCTGAAAGAGAGGTATGTGTGTGTGTGTGGGGGGGTAGTGGTGGTGGGGAGGGGGTGGGGATAGGCCCACAGGCTCACAACAGTATGAGAACTCTGCGTGCCCAAGACACGTGCTTTCACGGTCACCAGCTAGCAACACCTTGCAGGCTGTCATGACGCTCCCTTACAGTCAATGCTGGGTCTGGACAATCACTCTCTTGGGTTGGGTGAAAGCTGTGGGTGTGAGGTTGTGTTTCATGCTGGGTAGTCGTGGCTAATGGTTTCTCTCTGTCTTAACTCTTGTTGTGATCAGATAAAGGCTTCATTAATCTCTCTCCCATGATGAACACCACGGTATTTGTTAACGATGGAGACAATTTAGATTTGATTGTGGAATACGAGGCATACCCCAGACCTGAACACCAACAGTGGGTCTATATGAACAGCACCTCTACTGCTAAGTGGGACCATTATCAGAAGTCTGAGAATGAAAGTAATATCAGGTAAGCGCAAGGCCTTCACCCCCCTTTTCCCACTTGGCTTCATAGAGCTTTTTGGTGAGCCTCGAAATGTGTGTGAGGCCACCTGATATAGGGGAGCGCTTGGGGGGGCTATCTTCTGAGTTCTCATTTCATTTCCCTTCATTTTGCTGTGTGTTTGGGCACGTGCACGCACATGCGCGCGCGCACACACACACACTCACTCACACATTCCTGTGCTTGTTTTCTCAAATGTTAAATGGAGTTAATAACCACCTCTGAGGCTAGTTTCAAAACCATTACAAAAATCCATTTAGGAGCAGGATGAGGCGACCTGCTCCCATAAAGAGTTGCCGGCCGTCTGGGAAACCCGGCAGAGGGCTGCTGTGGATGTAGGATTGCAACGATTGTCTTCAGCGAGCCGGAAGGTTGTTAGTTTATCTAAGTGGCGAGAAAACTTTAGAATCTTTGAGCCACTTTGGACCAGGTGGTGAATGGAAGTGCTTTTAACAGAAGTCACATCATTAAGATTTTCAAAGCATTCATCAGGAAAACAACAGCCAGGACTTTCTATCTGCTCTCTCTGTGGGGCACGGTCTTATGAACTCATGCATGGTAGTCCTCACAAGACCGGGTGAAATTAAGCACTCTCATTTTCTCTGGTTTGAAAAAAGGGGAAACTGAGACACGGAGGGTTCAGTGCACTGATGGAGATCAAAGGGCTGGTCAGGGCTGTGGTGCTTGGCTGTCATTTGTCAGTTTTCCAGTCAGCAGCCTGTTGGCTATTGTGAGAGTGTGGGTGAGAGGATCGTGAGGGAGGACCCAGGAGGATGGAGAAGGGGAAAGAAGATGGATTTGGGAGGTGGCAGTGCTACCTCCTTAGCAAGACTTGTTGATGGGGAGTGCAGGAGAGATTTGGAGGAGCTGGAGATGCCTGGTACGTGTCCGGGCCTCTTGGGCAGGGGGATGGTGCGTGGTGGTGCCATCCACTGAGAGGATGAGGGAATGGAGGAGGAGGATCAGCAGTACTGGCAAGTGTCTGAGGAAAGAGGATGCATTTAGCTTGGAGTTTGTTGCATTTGAGGTTGAGTGTGGGATCTCTAGTGGAGAGGTTGGGAGAAGAATGTTCTAGAGAAGCGGAAGTTGAAGACAGATTCACGTTCAGGGGTTTATCAAGGGGGGAGGCCTCAGACAAACCTGTCCTGGAGTGGGAGAAGAAGGGTGGCCTTTTCACGTGGCCTTTCAAGTCAAATTTCAGTCTGCTCCTAAGGGCGTCCTGAAGCTAGTCTTTGACACGTCCCGTTATCAGTCACTCACTGGCTGCAGACCTGGCTGGAAGATAGAATTTTCAAGTGGCTTTGTTCACCAAGGACCGCCTCTGGGAGAAGGTTCCAGTGTGAGTCCTTAGCGGTTGCACTGAGAGCAGGTGGGGGGAAGGGTCGCAGAATAGCTTCTGTATGGGAGACTTAGGACAGAATATTCTAGACTGAAGATAAAGAAAGCAGTGAGCAAACAGCAAGTAGTTCAGTGAGAGGCTGTGGCTTGCCCAGCGAGCACGAGCGAGGCCACCGGGGGCCTTTTTGGGTGTGTGGGTTGTGTAGGTCAGGGGTAGGTTGTGGGCTGCTCAGTCCAGTCATATCAGGAACCTTCCTGAGCGTGTGCAGGGCTCAGTCCGACACCTCCAGATCTGAAGGCCCCGCAGGAACACGGAAGCTCAGGGGACAAATATGGCCAAGGAGTCAGAAGTGGAGGGGCTCGTAGGAGAACCAGGAGGCTATGGTTTCAGTGAAAACAAGAGAGAAAGTACTGAAAGAAGAAAGGCAAGGACCCCAACCCTGTGTGCTGAGCAGGCCTGTATGGGGCTAGAGGGCGTGCAGAGGTCAGAGCACAGTAGGGTTGGGGAGTTCAGGAGCCTGGCAAGAGGGAAGTTCAGCAAAAGACCATCATCACAGAAGGAAGTGGCCGTGCGGGCAGCCAGGGTTGGAGGGGGAGGCCCAATTCTCGGTCAGGTTGCTTGTCTGCTCAGAATGCCTTTCCCACGTGATCTCACATGAAATTAGTCTCATTCAGCTGGGCTGTTGGTTGGATGAATGGATATGGATGTAAGTGTGTGTGCACGTGCACACACGTACATACATGAAGACACACATGCGTATGTGTCTGGACTATGGAATTGCTCATGTGGATTTGAAGGAGCCCTGGTAGTCCAGTGGTTAACTGCTCAGCTCACTGAGAGCTTAGAAGTTCAAACTCATCAGCCAGTTTTTTGGAAAAAGAAGAATCTACCTGCTTCTGTAAAGCTCACAGCCCTAGAAACCCCCAGGAGGCAGTAATACTCGGTCCAGCAGGGTCCACAGTCAGAATCCACTCACCAGCAGTGGGTTCGGATCAGAGGGTTTCACATGAATTTTACTAAAACCACGAGACCTGTTTTGCCTCTCCACACTGACATGGGCATGTAGAGTCCAAGGCAGGCCCTCCACGGTGACCCATTTCTTCTTCTCTCTTCGCAGATACGTAAGCGAGTTACATCTAACCCGGTTAAAAGGGACCGAAGGAGGCATTTACACATTTCTAGTGTCCAATTCTGACGCCAACTCCTCCGTCACCTTTAATGTTTACGTGAAGAGTAAGTACAGGGCACAGCTCCTTATCTCTGTGTGCGTTCTTACTCTGATTGTGGCTCGTGTTTGTAACAGCTGCAGAACCTGGAGACCTTGTGTGCTGTGTCAATAGCGGCTCATGCTCACTTTGACCTTACCCAAGGCCTCCAGGTTTGGGGGTGAGACAAGGTGTGAAAGAACACTAATTCCTCGGCCTATGTTTCCCTCACCAAATGACCTTGCAGAAGCCACCTGACTTCGGGGTGTTGCCTCCCAAAGGAAACAGTTCAAAACAGCACTGCAGTGCAGGGTCACACCTGTAGGCCTGATGACTGAGCACCGAAATGGGGAGGTGTGGTGGCCGAGGTGCCGGGCTTCATGGTTTTAGGCGAGAAAGAGCCTCTCTCAAGGCCTGGCGTGATTTCCTAGTGCTCCTTCTTCTTGCGCTGTGATTTTGTGTGCAGATTGTTCTTTTGCCAGAATAAACATGTGACTGATCTGGCTGCACAGAGTTGATGCATTGAACTGCAAGCCACAAGGTCAGTGGTTCGAACCCAACCCATGGGAGAGAGATGATCCTATGTGCCCCAATAAAGATGTAAAAGTCGTGAAAACCCCAAAGGGCAGTTCTACCGTGTCCTCTGTGAGTTGGAATCGACTGGATGGCATGAGGTTGGACAAAAGGGAGTTCTGTGCCTAGGAGTTGGGCTGCTCACCATGGGGGTACTAGCGTGGCAGTTGGTTTTGGGTAGGACGATGGTGCTAGAATAGCCCTGAGTCCTGTCCTGCCACAGCCCCTCATCTCCATTGCCCCTGGGGATGAGGCCAAGGGAACACACTTAGCCTGGTGCTGGCCTTCCTCCTGGCCATCGGCATCTGGGTCCTGAGGGCATTTCCAGGGAGGGACTGGCAGGTACCTGCCTCACCCCCCCAAAGCCAGAGGAAGGAGGCCTCCCAGACCTGGAATGTGGAGGGAATGGCCCAATATCTATATACCACCATTTGGATTAGCCCTCCTGGGTGTGTGTGTGGTGGGGATGGGGTGTGGGGGTGGTAAAGAGACCTAGGGACCAGCTTAGGAAGCAGGCTGTGCTTGGTGCGTGCTCCAGGGTGGGAGTTGGCAGGCTGTGGGAGCACAAAGCTTGGATCCAACACCCTCCTCTCAAGGGGGGTGGACTTGCCAGATGAAATGATTTCACATGATTCTCTGATGCTGCCGCTCCACACGCAGGCGGGCTGCGTAGGGTGAAAAGAAGCCGCTAGTCGTAAGTGGCCCTCTGGGCCGGTGTTTGATTGCCGTTTGACCCTACCAGCATTTCCAAAATTGTGCTTCCTGGAGAGGATATTAATATTTGTTTAGGCAAAGAGGGCCACGGGCTAGCAAACGTGTCTCTTTATTACAGTAGACCCTCACAGAATCGTTTCATACACGGATGTGCCTTCCACCCCCTTCCAGGGAGGGAGTGTCTGTCTGAAACTTGGCTGACCACAGAGCTCTCTTTCCTAGGGACGCATGCTAATATGGAGCGGTTTTGATTATATGTTGTCTCATTGGCTCTCAATTCAACCAGATTAATTCAGATGTTAATCAGAGGAGCTTCACTGTATTAGACGTGGGCAAAATCAGCTGCTTTTGAGAAATCTTATCATTTAAGTAACTTAAGAGATAATTGTTGGTAAATCAGTATGCTTGCAAGCGTACTGAGCTTACTGCGCATACCACCCACACTTCGCTGTGGACACTCCCGGACCTTGCTTCTCAGACTACCTGCGGCTTAAAGGAGTCACTGTCTTGTTTGCTTGAGTCCAGTCACTGCAGATCAACTGCCACTGGAAGCAGTGGAGTCCGTTCTGACCCACGGCGACCCCATGCATGCCACGAGATTTCAGAAACAGATTGCCTGGCTCTGTTTCAAGGTACTGCCGGGTGGGTTTGAACTCCCGTGTGTTCAGCTGGTAACCATCGGCACCACTCAGAAGCAATAAGGCCACTGCCACCCAGTCGATTCCGACTCATCGCAGCCTATAACGTTTCTGAGGCTTTGTAAACCTTGACAGGAGCAGAGAGCTGCTTTTTTCTCCCTCAGAGCGGCTGGTGGGTTTGAACTGCTGAACCTGAGCTCCAACACTTCTGATAAAATCCAATCAAAGCGAGTGGCTAGGAAACAAGAGAAGGAGCCCTGGTGGCAGAGAGGTTTAAGCACTGAACTACTAACGGTAGTTAGTCAGCGGTTCAAACTTAACCAATGGGAGAGAGATCTGCTTTCCTGCGCCAATAAAGATATAGAAGTCTCTGAAACCCCAAAGGGCAGTTCTACCCTGTCCTCTGTGAGTTGGAATCGACAGATGGCATGAGGTTAGACAAAAGGGAGTTCTGTGCCTAGGAGTTGGGCTGCTGCTACCCGTCAGAACGTTGGTGGAAACTCTCACCAGTCCCTCTGCAGGGGAAAAAGGAGGCTTTCTGGTCCTGGAAAGATTTACAGCCTGGGAAACACACAGGGCCAGGTCTCTCCTGCCGTATAGGGTCACTGTGAAAATTTGGTTTTCAGTGGTTAAACGTGTATCTTGTGGCATGCGTCTTCTCTTCCTTGGCCCCCTCCAGGAGAGGATTAAGACATCAGCAGAGGAAAGAAGCTGGGAAGCACTGTACCACGGAGATGTGCTCAGTGGCCCTACCCTTCTTTATGGAAAAGAAGAAAGAAAAAACCATCGGCCTGGATTTTTATTATTAGAGTCAGTGACGTCTGAGTACGTTTACATCCACACACAGGTTCCACAAGCTGTGCCTCGGTTTCTTCTCTTCGCTCCGGCAGAGCAAACTGTCCCAGCAAGTTATGGCCTGGCCTCCTCCCGACGCCCTCCTTGTTTGGAAAGCTCAGCTGAAGGGAATTCTGTAGCATTGGGAGCCTTGTGGCCCCCAAATGGTACAAACCGCAAATGCACTTGGCTGCCAACCCACAAGGCATGAGTTTCCAGTCCGCTCAGAGACACCTCCCAAGATAGGAGGCCATAGCCTGGCAATCGACCTCTCAGAAACCAGCCAGCCACTGAAAACCCGGGGGGCCCAGTGCTCCGCGGACACCCAGGCTGAGATGAAATCTACTCGGCAAGCAGGGCCACAACTTGTGGTTTCCTTATGTGCGCCTAGGAGTAGCCCTCGTGAGCCCTGGTGGTATGGTGGTTATTCTTCGGGCTGCTAACTGTGGGGTCAGTGGTTCAAAACCACCAGTCACTCCGAGGAAGAAAGATAGGGTGTTCTACTTCTGTGAAGCGTTACAGTCTTGGAACCCCCTGGGACAGATCTATCCTGTCCTACAGGTCACCATGAGTCGGCACCAACTTGTTGGCAGTGGTTTTTGTTCAGTTTAGGTGAGCCTGTCTCTTCTCCTGGCCTCAAGACTGCGGGGGCTCTCAGATCCATCCTTCACCGCAGTCTCTCTAAGCAGTGCGGGGTACTGTCTGAATGGGCGATGCCAACAAGACCTGTTTAGAAGAGTGTTGCACCATGTTTCTGAAGAAGTCGATTATTTTTAATAAAAACATCCCTGGAGTTGGTTAGAAGGGCCAGCACATTTTGTGTAAGGCCAACCGGCATGCGCAGAGGCCCGAACGAGAGAAAACTGTGTTCCCATGGACTTCGTGAGCCTCCTGAGGCATTTGGTCAGAGTTGTCTTTTTTACCCAATGACACAGGAAACGCTTGCGTTGGGTCACAGGGTCTCCTCCGCTCCTGCAGCGTACAGCACGCACTGCGCTGTGTCTTTGTGGGTGACGCTGTGGGTGGTTTTATCGGCACTGACTTTGTCAGGCGCTCTGCTGCCTCAGCTACACCCGTACGGTGGTAATTAGTACTTGCAACGATGGACTAGAGACAGTGAACAGTTGTGAGGACGGCCGGACTGTGCAGGGTTTCATTCTGTTGTATGAATAGGTTCACACACCAGAGGGTCGCCATGTGTTGGAACTGACTAACAACAAGAAGAATGCAATCTGGTCTGGTACAAGAGGAGTCCATAGGGATGGGGATGGGGGTTACTGCTCTGGGTGACAGCAAACCTACTGATACTACTGGTCTCTTTCGTGCTTCCATTTGCCACTGTGTGGTTGGCCAATTAGACATGAGTCACCGACCTCGGAAAGTCTCAGAAATAGCCCCACTTTGTTTTGGGTGGCGTACGTACTTGCTACCATTTTACTTACCAGTCTCACGGGTCTTCGGTTCCTGTTTCAGGGCACTGGGGCCACGGCGGAGGAGGATGTAGTTCTGATCTCACAGGGAGCCCCTAATTGGTGCAGCCAGTTAATGTGAACTGTGCGTGGAGAGGGCTTTATCGACTGAGCAAATGGCCATCGAAACCTCTGGCTCTTAGGCATAGTGGCCCCAGGAGTAGGAGCCAGATTGATGGCAAGTGGGCTTTTGGTTTTGCCTTTTGGAGTTAAGCTCGTCAGGAAGTACTTTTGTAGACTGGTTGACATCAGTTTGCTGCAAACACTGTACTGACAAAAGGCATGCCTCTCTCTGGTGGTCAGGAAGGGATTACGGCCCTAACCCAACTAGACTCCTGGGTAAAGGCAGGGGCAGAGCCCAACCTAGCAACTGAGTCAAAGCGATGACATCTCCTTGGTGTCATCAGCCTTTTGTTTTAAGATGGGCAGACCGAACAGAGTGGAATCCTCTTTGACCCTTGTCTTCTGCCGGAGCTGGGTCCTCCATCTCCTGTTGCATGGCATGCGGATCCCAGGAGCTGTCAGCAGGCTGCCAGAGACTGCCAACAGTGGATTCATTCGATCACCTTTGGAATTCTGCATCTACCAGCCTGTGCCCCCTTCTGTCTCTGCTTCGTCATCCTGCTTCCTGTTCATCAGTTTCCATGAATCAAGAGGCACCTGGCTTGACCAGACTTACCTATCCTACAACTGTGTAAGGCATTTCTTGATGTAAATGTCTCTCTCTATACAAGCCTCACTGATGTTGCTTTTCCAGAGACCCTAACCCAACACACCTTCCTGAGGGCTTAGCTAATGTT